TTATAAGCCTTAATAAGATACCCATGTGTCATGTTTAACAAGATAATCAAGATCTAACCTATCCAAAAGGGTGAGGATCTTGAGAAAAAGGGATTATGTGAGGACATTCTCATTATAATTATTGTGTAACTGGGAAGAGAACTTAACCTTCACCTTAGTTATCAAATAACTGAGCTCAACAAATTGAGGAGTCGATCAAGCTTAATAAATGGCTTAATTCAAAAATTAGTCTATTAAATATCAACTTGATTTCATTTTAGTCTAGAAAGTATGTTTTATTTCTAAGTGGTCTATAAACTTTGGAAAATATTTCAGAATGGTCTACCATATAAGATTTTAACTTGGAATTAAACTGGAACAATCCTTTAAGTTTTAAAAAAGTAACACTATAATCTCAATAAAATATAATGAATCAAGGAATACTCTATAGAGATAGATTAGTTAGAATTTGTGATGAAATTCAACAACTAGCTCAATTCGAAGAGAGAATCTTAGCAAACTTAGAAAGAGAAGCTCTAGAAGTAAGTATTGAAAATACAATAAGAGTTAGAACTCTTAATTACAAAATAAGAAGAAAAAGAGAAAGAATAAATACATTAAGAAATATTATTAATGCACTTTTATTAGCATGAGCAATGAACAAATAAATCAAATTAACATGTATTTACTCAATATAGTAGGAAAAAGTATAATAGATATGGAAGATACATTTATCATAGATAATATTCTAAAAATAGAAACAATTAATGAAAATACCCTAAGAAGAATTAAAGAAATGGGAAAGTCCCTTTCTCAAGAATTTGATTCTATTAAAGAAAGAATAAATAATGTCAAAAACTCTAGAATTTTGAAAGAAATAAAAGAAGAAATAAGGTCTATTAAAGACTTAAAAACTTTGATATCTTGAGTAAGAGAGATAGAAATCAAAATAGAAGAAATTTTCAACATACTAAAAGCAATTGCTGAAAAATTTGAAATCAAAGCTAAAAAATGTATAACAAAATAATTCCACAACTAGAAAGTGATATCGATAAAATTTTTTATAAGATCCAAGGACAACTCAAGGATCTACAAGATACTATAGTATCAGTCTATAATAAGCGAAATATTGTAGATAGAAATGAAAGATTTAAAATAATCCCGAATATTTTCATGGAAAAGCCTAAATCAAAAGGGATAACACTTTTCATGTTAAAGACCCAAGAAGAAAAGTTGAAAGAACTTGAACAAAAATTCTTAGAAGAAGAAAATGTAGAAGAATTAGATAATCTATGTAGATAGATTACTATAACTACTAAACAATTAGAAAATATGAAGATGAATACCCAAAAGGAGGAAATAGAAGAGGAAAGTGAAGAAGAAAAGGATGAGACACATTCTAATATAACCCCAACAAAATTTCTAGTGCAACCTAGAGTAGAATCTAACATAAGCCAAAGCTATAGAAAAAATAGAAATCTAACACATGAAGTGTTATATGATAAGATTTGGGAATCAATCTAGACTTGAAACGTCAATTAGAATCAAAGAATATGTAATTAGTACTAATGGTATTTGGCTAAATCTAGATTGTGTTACCAACCCAAAGAAAGTCATTAGTGATTGGGCAGAAGCTACTTGGATAGCCGTAGCAAACAAAAATTGGAATGCCTTACAAACAATTAGATTTATTGAAGTCACTTTTAAAGGGATAGTTCACGACTGGTTTGCTGGTCTAAATGAAGAAGACAACAATATTATTATATAAGTGGAAATCCTGCTTCAGAAGAAGTTAATGAAAACAAAGCAATCCAAGACATAATAAATAGGTTTGAATCAACTATTAGGAGAGAATTCTTAGGAGAAAATTGGGAAGAAAATCAAGGAAAAGAGGAGGCCAGAATTGGAAGAATAGTAGTGTGGAATTTGCAAATTTTAGAATTATGTAATCTCTGTGAATTAGATCAATACATTTGTCTATTTCAAAAATACTATTATAAAGCTTCAAATCATGAAATGACTAAAGGCCTTATGGAATTGTTTTTTGGAAAGATTTTCCTTGGGGAATAAAATTGGCAGAAGCTTATAAAATATATGTAGAAGATAAGAGAGATACTTTAGGGTTAAGGATTTGGTTCGCTAAAACCAAAATTAATGAATGGTGCCTAGAAACTTATAACCAAAACAAACTAAGAAAAAGTATGAAAAAGGGACTATGTTGTCCTAAGAATAGTGATCCGATCAAGTTAGGATGTAGTTACACCAACTACAATAAGAGAAACTAGAAATTTAGATTTAAAAGAAGTAATAAACAAATGTTTAATAAGAACAAAATTTTCTAGAAAGAAAAAGCGATATTTTAAGAAAACCAAAACATCAAAAAAGTATAAAAAGAATCCCAAGAAATGCACATGTTGGTTGTGTAAAGAAGAAGGGTATTATGCAAATGAATGCCCTAAAAGATACAAAAGAAAAAGTACTAAAAACCTAAAAATTTATGAAGAAAATCTAAGTGAAATAGATGCTAGCTCTATAAGTAGCGAAGAAAGTATATTTGAAGTGGAAAGTTTATATACCTCTAGTAGTGATGAATCAGAATATTAAAGAAGGAGAAACTTATTCTAAAGAATATGAAGAATATGGAGAATACAGTCAAATAATTGTATTTGATAAAAGTAAATATAAAAGAATTAGACAAAAAAGAATGGACCTTACTTTAGAAAAAGGATTCAAACCAAATTCCTTTATAAGTAATCCATTTAAAAGAAAAGATATAGTTTATTACAGAATATCCACTAAAGAATATAGCATTCCTATCAAGAATACAACGGGAGTAATAAATAAACCTTTGATTATCAAGGCAGAAATAGAAAGCAAACTATCAAAAATCAAAGAAGCTGATAGATCAAGGATATGTTTTATCCACATTGAAGGAATACAAATACTTATTAAAGCTCATTTTAGGGAAGGAATAGACACCCCAATAAAACTAGCTTTGATAGATAATAAAATCAATGATAGAAATGATGCTATCCTTGGATTAATACAAGGTAACCGTAGTTATTGGAAACTTACGTTTACAGTATATTCAAAATACGTTGTAAACATTAATGATAGAAATATTAATAAAACCTTAAGTTTAGCACATGAATTCGCTAGAGAAAACTTTATGAAAGATGGATCAATGCCATATAGTATATATTATATGATAAGTTATGCATTGACTAATAGTTATCAATCTAATCCTTTTAAACATAAACAATATATTGAATTAGATCTTGTGTTCTCTGACATAGGACAAATTCAAAAGCCCAAAATGATCACTGAAGTAAAATTACCCAAAGAATGGGAAATAATCATTAGCAAAAAACCACTCATAATAGGAGAAAGAGAAACACCTAGACTAATGGCATATGAGTCAAGAAAACTATTGGTCAAAACGGAACTTGAATCAAGCCATAGAAATAGTGTAGACTTAGGAGTTATACGCTATCCTAAGAAAGATAAAGAGGTCTTAACTAGAACAACTAGTATAAAACATGAAGTGGTATTAGACACCTTAAAAGTCCTTTCTAGACATTTCAAAATAAAAGGAGATTATTATGATGGGAAAGAATGACATAACATTTTTATCCTAATAGATACAGGAACAAGAGTAACACATATCCATAGTGATATGATCCCACACCTACCAAGATTTGAACTCGCTAAACCATACACATAATACAACTTCAATGGTACAGTGACTACTGTATATGAATATGCTAAAGTACCTCTTAAAATAAAGGATAAGAATAAGATACAACATGAAACCACTATAACAACTCATGCTGAAACATAAATGACTGCAAGTATAGAATTAATGCTAGTAAATACGTTCTTAACATTAGTACAACCCTATAATATTTAAGAACATTGTCTAAAGATTACCTTAAGTGGAAAACAAATGGTTATACCTTGATACTATGAAGACTAGTATCTGTAGTGTATACATATCCACTGGAATCAAATATGAAGAATACAAAACAGAATTCTTTCATGTTTTTATAGATACAAGGTCTAGGATACATTTAGCCAAAACCAATGTATTCCCAAAATATTATTAGAAGAACACCTCTCAAACTATGAAAGGTGTAGCTATAGATGGAAGTATTATTCAATATAAAACAATAATAGAAAGAGTTACTACTGTAATTGGTGGAACTGAAGTTATAATTCCTCGAGTCTATGAAAGTAACGAACATGGGAATGATATTCTATTAGGAAACAATTTCCTAAGTCAATTCAAGTAGCATGTTCAAACTGCATCATATGTAAAATTTTATACACCTTGTGGCCATTAGCTTTGAACTCACTAAACCATACACATATTACAACTTCAATGGTACAGTGACCACTGTATATGAATATCCTAAAGTACCTCTTAAAATAGAGGATAAGAATAAGATACAACATGAAATCACTATAACAACTCATGCTGAAACATAAATGACTGCAAGTATAGAATTAATGCTAGTAAATACGTTCTTAACATCAGTACAACCCTATAATATTTAAGAACATTGTCTAAAGATTACCTTAAGTGGAAAACAAATGGTTATACCTTGATACTATGAAGACTGGTATTTGTAGTGTATACATATCCACTGGAATCAAATATGAAGAATACAAAACAGAATTCTTTCATGTTTTTATAGATACAGGGTCTAGGATATATATAGCCAAAACAAATGTATTCCCAAAATATTATTAGAAGAACACCTCTCTAACTATGAAAGGTGTAGCTATAGATAGAAGTATTATTCAATATAAAACAATAATAGAAAGAGTTACTACCGTAATTGATGGAACTGAAGTTATAATTCCTCAAGTCTATGAAAGTAACGAACATGGGAATGATATTCTATTAGGAAACAATTTCCTAAGTCAATTCAAGTAGTATGTTCAAACTGCATCATATGTAAAATTTTATACACCTTGTGGCCATCAGCTTTACACCTCTAGAATTTATAATACTTATACTAGAGCAATAGAACCATTAAATTTTTACAGCCAACGTGGTGAAGTTAATACAAAAACTGGATCCAAAGAGGTTTAAAAACCAGTGTTAGCATTGTGAAATAATGAAAAAACACAAGAAAAAATAACTTTAGAATCTATCTCAGAAAATTAAGAAGTAATTATAGAGAAGATCCTAGAAAACTATAATGAGTTGATAAAACTTATGTCACAATCGAATTGATAAACCCAAAAACTATCACTAGAGTCAAACCAATGAGGTATAACCCTAAAGATAAAGAAGAATTTGATAAACAAATTCAAGAGTTAATGGCCCAGAAAATTATATAGGCTTCTAAGAGTCCGCATAGTAGTCCTGCCTTTATGGTAAGAAATCATAATGAATTAAAAAGAGGAAAAGCTAGAATGGTTGCCAACTATAAACAACTTAATGGCAAAACTAAATTCGATGGTTACTTTTTACCAAATAAAGAAACTCTTTATCTGTCACGCCCCAGAACCCGAATCCGAGGCGCGACAGACGCCGTGCACTCGTGAGACGGGTCCCACAAATGCACAAGGCTCGGAACTTACTGAACAAAATCAGTTTTGATACCATACAATTTCCAATTAAAATCTAACTTACAAGAGCGTGGTGTACATGTATTTAAAATCTATGTCAAATCTCAAGTGGCTACCCTTTTATCACGTCACTCCCCTTGATTTCCGAGTCTCGGGGCACACTACCTGAAATGGTGGACGAGAAAAACGAGGTGAGATAACTCAATAAGTAAAATATGGATTGCCCTTAATTAAACTTATAGCATGCCAACAAGTGTAATCA